TCATCGGACGCGCCTGATCTCATACCAGATACAGAATATGACGGAAACTTTGAAACGCTGATCCCAGATATAATGTCTTGGTCAAGCGAAACATTAGAGCAAATACCTGTAGGAATTCGTTGCTACACGGATGGCTCTAAATTGGGGGACAAAGTGGGCCTGAGGTTCTATATTGAAGACCCAGAAACAGTAATATACTACCGTTTACCTAAGGCGAACTGGTCAAAAGCGGTTATAGGAAACATTATCAATGTATACTGGAAACATTGGAAGGTTACACACAATCATCGGACGTGCCAGATCTCATACCAGATACAGAATATGACGGAAACTTTAAAACGCAGATCCCAAAAAGAAACGGTGGGTAGAACCACAGAGATCCTAATGTATTGTAGTTTGACAATAGTTTGTTTAAAATACTATAGTTTTACATAAGGATAGTTTTATAAGACAATTTTGGAGAACTTTAAACTTCGTATTTATACAATGAATGTGTCCACTACATTTCATTAAAAACTGAAGTAGTAAGGTATGTGTTAAAAACGAAGTGAATAAATCAATTTATATGTACTATATGTATGGAATCATACCACTTTAAAAAATAAAAGGTTCAAATAACATCGTAATTTTCAAACTATTGAAAATTATGGTTAAAAAAGAAAATAAAAAAAAAATTTGAAGCAAATCCCAGGATTCGTTTTAAAAAATTTCGGGTTTCGGGATATTCTAATCTCGAAAAAATCACGGAATTTATATTGGCGAATCCCGGGATTTTGCGATTGGCATCCCTAGTCTCTATTCAATGAATGTCTGTCTTTCTACTATATCTATTTCTTCTTACAAGGTGCAAAGTGATCAACTTTGGACCCAAAAAGTTTTTTAGTTTACTTAAAGTCTTTATCTTAGAATTTCCTTAAATAATTTCCATTTAATGTGCATATTTTGTAAATATTTTAATAAAAGTAAAGAAATAAACGCGAAAAATATGTTTTGTGCTTTAACTTCCGTTCTCTGTTCAACGCAATTTCAAGTTAAACGTTTGCGAACATAAAATTAAACTCATAAATTATTCACATTTGTTGGGAAACTAAAACGATTACGTTGGTGTATTGACATTAAGGTGGCCATGTAGATTTTTATTTGAATTAAAATTTATTGTTTTTGAAAAAACTTTACACTACGTATGTTAAATGAATGGCGTAAGGTTGTCACCGAGTAATTAATGTGTTTTTTTGAACATGAAGTGATGTCTAGTTTAGGTTTTGAATTTGGAGCTCTTGGGCTCACGATCCTATTTCTTTGTTTGTGTTCCGATCACGATACATATAGAATTTCTTTATCGAGCACTTGGGAAGTTTTATGGTATAAATCTATCAGTAGAATAATTGCAATTTTTATGAAAATATTTTATCTCAATTGAACGAATCTAAGACAAAAATTCAATTTAGTTTTTTGGTAACCTTAATTTGCAAAATGAACACGAATCCTCATGTGTATGTATTTAGTACTAAAAATCAACGCATGAAGTTTTTCAAATAAAATTGAAAAAGGAAAAAGAAGTTTATTGAGATAAAAATTCCAAAAAAAGGAACAGGTACAACAATCGATATTTCATATACACACAAATAAAACATACTCATTTTAATGTACATACATACATACTATATAAATAGATTTGTGTGGACTTCTCTTATAAAGTGTTTGGGTAAAACTGTTTGGTTCGGGTTCTATAGTATTTGAAATATTTTCCAAAGCAATAAACCCTTGAAAATGGAGCTCCTACATCCTATTTGTTGGGTTATATGCTTGCTGTTGTTTGTATCTTTACAGTTTTACCTTAAACTATTATGTTTTTAAAACGGAACCACATAAATTAACGTTGGCAAATACAAATACACACGTAAAACACATATCCACTCATACAAACTGTTGTAGGTGCAAGACAGTAAAAGTCATGGTTAAATGGAATTAAATGAAACATTCCTTCGTTTTCTTCTTTAAGTTTTATTTATTTTTACTTTTTGGAGCGGAAAAGTTCAAACATCTCAAATTGGGATACAGTTCTGGAAAGCATGCTCCATATACTATATACATACATACATACATGGTTATGCATGTGCAAGGGGAAATGGAAATATTTCTATGTACATATGCATGTACATTTGTATGTACGTTTACATAAGTTAGGAATTTTAATATATTACAAGGGTTAAAGAATTTTGGTATTTTCTTTAAGAATGTTTATATGCATGTTGTATTAACAAAATTTCATTATGTTTGTAAAGTTATTTCGTTGATAAAAACACTTTTATTTTATAATTCTTAATTTTAGTTATAATATTTACTTTTTATAAACATTTTTCCATATCCTAATGTAAAATGACAATATGTTTGTGTTTATAACCCAAGAAGCAAAAACCTTTGAAAATGATGTAAATATATATTTGAAAACATATTTAAATTTCATACATAGTCTTTGAGAACAAATTTGAAAATTTTTGTTTTCAAATTTGTTTGCACTTTAGGTAGAATAGTTCTTACAACACCGGACAATTTCGGGTACAAATATAGTGTATGCATATGTTCTATATATATAAAAATGAATGTGTGTCTGTTTGCTTATATGTTTGTATGTTTGAACGTTATAGACTACTAAACGGCTGAACCGATTTTATTCAAATTTTCACATTTTGAAATTTCAAGTGGGTGAGGTGCCACGCCCATATTAGAAAATATTAAAAACGTATATTTGAGATAATATAACAGTTGGAGTCCTCAAATTTTGTCGGAGCAACTTTAGTGTCAATATAATTATTTAGGACAAAAAGTAGGCGGACTACCATTAGGGGGCGTGGCACCTCCCATATAAATTAAATACAAAAATACGTTTATCTTGGAAACTATTACAGTTAGAATCTTCAAATTTTGCACGAAAAACTTTAACATCCACCTAAACATTTTGGGTAATAAATTGGCGGCACCTTCCATATTAATTAAAGACAAAAATTCGTTTATCTGGAAAACTACGGGAACTAAATTCTTCAAATTTCGCACGAAGAACTTAAATATTCATCTGAACATTTTGTAGGAAAAAAAGCGGACTTTCATCTGCGGGGTCTTGAAGCCCCCACATGAATCAAATAGAAAAATTCGTATATCTGAGAAACTATTAGAGCTAGAATCTTCAAATTTTACATGGGGAACTTTGAAATTCATGTGAACATTTAGAGCATAACGGGCGGACTTTGAATGAGTGGCTTGGCACAACATATATGAATTAAATACAAAATTTCGTGCATCTTAGAAACTCTTATATCATTCAAATTTTTATAGATAGATAGAAATTGGCGATAGATAGAAACTGGCGAACTTGCAATAATTTGCATGACATATTTCATATGTAACATACATATAATAAATCTGGTATTTATTTATGCATATTTTAGGGTAGCAAAGCACACTGGGTATAGCTAGTACTTTACATAAAAACGTTTACTTGATAATTGATTCTGTAAAAACTTAACATAGGACAAAGTATTTTAAAAAGTATTATGATGTCTGCAATGTCTCTTTAAATACCTCTTAAAATATTGATTAATTCTTAATATTGAAAAAAACTTTGTTTAATGCTTCATTCTTAAAACGACATGGCTACATATCAAATTGTGTCTCTCCAAATGTAATTTCTTTGTAACACAATTAAAAACTTACCGTTTAATGTGTCGACAAGGCGCTTTAGAAATACGCAGTTTTAGGAATTAACATTAAAACTATTGATCAAGGAGTACGTTAATTAAAACAAGTGAGATTTCTATCTTTGGCTGTGTCGAATCTTATTACCCTTTAAAAAAATCAAAAAATACCAGTCGTAAACGAAAATGACCCGAAATTCTCCTGTTATATGTTCTCATTTTTTCCGTGGTCTACATGCATAATTTCATATTTCTAGGTCAATATTATAGAAAATTCAAAAAGTACCTTTTTGAAGAAAGAAAAAGGTCTCACTTAGTCCGGGCTCTACATACTTAATTTCTAGGTTCAATATTATAGAAATTTTAAAAAAGTACCTTTTGGAGAACGAAAAAGTACCAAAAAGTCCCATTTTATAGGTTCTCACTTAATCCGGGATCCGCATACTTAATTTCATGTTTCTTGGATTAGTTTTATAGAAAATTCAAAAAGTTCCTTTTGAAGAACGAAAAAGTACCAAAAGGTCCCCTTCTGTAGGTTCTTAAATAATTCGCGCTCAACATGCTTAATTTCGTATTTCTAGGTTGAATATTGTAAAAAATTCAAGTTCTGACAGAATTGTTGAAGATTTGGACCCCAAAGATATCTGGGGTCTTCAGAAAATTTATTTCAACAAAGATACAGACAGTCAAATGGACGGGCAGACATAGCTTAAACGATTCCGCTATATACAAGGACTCGGAATATATATACATTATAGGGTCGAAAACTATATTATAGAAATTACAAGTGGAATGACAAACTTATATATCTTTCTCTTGAAGGTGCTTCAGTAACATTCGAAGAGTATTTAATATAAATATTGTAAAAACGCTTGTTTCCTACTTACCCCCTTATTCACAAACAACATTTTTATTTTATAAAAGGTATATAAAACAACATTTCCATACAAAATCTAATTTATAAACTGTTTATAAAATAAACATTTTGTTTGTGAATAAGGGGGTTAGTATATAAGCAACAAATTATTAAATAATATCTGCATTATAATTTAAAATTTGTAAGCCGGCTGAAGAAATCAACATTCATACAATTTAAGTTTGTTTTTCATAAAAATTACAAATATACAAATATATTCTTCAATGATACATACAACATTCATAGTATGAATGTATCATTTCGCTTAACTGTAATTTATGATTAAAATTTACAGCAATTCGATTTCGATTCGTTCATAAGTATATAATTTTGTACGAGCAAATATATTGATTGGCTGACTGAAATGATGGTTGTCTGATTGCCTCACTCACCTGTGTTTCTTCATGCTGTCCATATGTTTTTTAACCGTATTGTCCATGTGTTGCTTATTATTGTCGTAATTGTGCTGTAGTTCATAATCATCAAATTCGATATCGTGTATAATGGCCAAATGACCGAAGGGATTGTTGTAGGGAAGTGCGGTATGGCGATGTCCGTCGCCATGATGACCATGGTGTCCGCCTTTATGTTGTGTAACCGAATAATCTTCTGTGGCAAAAAAGGAAGAAAGTAAAGAAAATGCGAAAAATAAGTCTATTTATAAAAGGTTTTTCTTTAATTAAATTGTATAAATTGTACTGCTACTACATTGCTTCTACCTTTCCCATGAATTTTACGTATTTACTATTAATGTTTTTAACCAGAATGACGGACTATGTTTCCTGTAACATGGCTAAAAGTAAATACAAGTAAATTTCCTTAGTAGATGTACATACATATGTATGTATGTACGTTTCAGTTGTATGCGGGTTAAGTTTTATTAAATTTAATTTGTTTATTTTTCTTTAAGGTCAAAAGCGCAAAGTAGAACATTTTATTTTACTAACAGTTTACTATACTTTAGTCTTATAAATATAAAGTTAAATTGAATTATTTTTTTCATTTAATTTCTTTTAACAAAGAAGGATATTGAATAAAAAGAAAAGACAAAGGAATAGAAAATTAAATGAAATATATTACGTTGCACTTGTTTAAGCTTATGTTTGATATAGAAATGATTGTCCTTATTAGTATTTTGTTGTATTTAACTTAAAGGGTTTCCAAGTTGTGGTGGCATTGCCTGATCACTATTCGATTCGATTGTCCCTGAACTGCATAAAGAAAATGTGCATAAAGTTTTCTATTTCATTGTCTTTTTCCATTCACCATAGTGCCGCATTGCGCTGACAACTTTAGCAGTTTGTTTTTTCTTTTTTTTTCAGTAGTACGATGAGAATAGAAAAAACTAAACGTTTTAATAGAATATTTATTCAACAATTGAAAAATACATTGAAATTGTACCTACTTACAAGAAAAGGTATGCTAAGAGTTGAAAGTGATTACAGAAAATTTTATATTATTAATATTCAGATTGTTCCATATTCTTGACTATACATTTTTGAATATCTCGACTATACCGAGAGACTATAACTGCTCTATGGTTATGTTCATAAACTGTTTTATATTTTCGACTGTAATATGCTCTATCGTCCTCAATGTAGACTTTTCTATAATGTCGAGTCTTTAGTATCAACATATATGTAGCTTCTATAGTTTCTTTTACTACTCTAGACTGTACTGTAATCAAGACGTCTCGATTATTACTACTCCACTATAATATGATCTATAGTCTCTACTTTAGCGCGGCCAACAGTAGAAACTATAGAACCGTATAAAGTCGAGACTATAAAATTGTTTATGTTGAGGCTAAAGAATAGTCTATATTCATAGTCTAAGTCGAAACCATAGGCAGGCCTATTTCGACATTGACTTTATGTTTACATCCATATATGTATGTATGTAATTGTTTATTATTTATTATACTTTTATTTTAACTGTGAAAACTGTAATTAGAAAATGTTTGTTGGCATACTTCTCCTCCTACAACTTATGAACATGCTGGCTGCAACTTGATTGTTGAAGACAACATTTACAGAAAATTATAATAAAAGAAAATAAAATATATATTTTTTTATTTTCCAGACATATCTGCAATTTTATTTAAAAGGAAAAAAGAAAACTTTTAGGATTATAAGACTTTTCTTCTTAGTATTGTAAGTCTTCTTTTTATTTTATACTCAAACAGTATATTCGAAAGCTTAACTAAGTTGTACATTTTCCTGTTCACTTAAATTTATGATTTTAGTTATATTTGTTTAAAAGATAGAAGGCTAAAAATCCTAATTTTTATAATATAATTCAGATTCAATAAAACTGGTATTTCGCTTAATTTTAAGATCAACCTTTATTTATTTTCGCTATATTTTCTCTAGCATATATATAAATAAATTTTTCGATACAATTCTGCATTTTGATTTTTCTTGGAAAATTAACGGAAATAAAATTCTTTGCAATATATAACGGAAATTTTTTTCCATAAATTTTTGTTGGAAGTACTTACCCCATCCACGGCCAGTTCGTAAACTTTTATCCCATCGATCGGGTATCATTGGTATGTGATATTGTGGCTGATAAATGCTATATTGCTGCTGGGTATACGTGTGTGGTTGCTGTTGGGATTCATGATATTGCTGTTGAATAGTTTGTTTTTGTAGCTTCTTTTGTTTCGCCTGGACTATGTTATATTCCTCCTGCTCGTGTGGCTGTGGTGGTTTACGATGATTTTTGCCACTGATTGAATAAACATGATGGGTGCGTATGTGTTTCTCATCAACCTTTGAAAAAAAAATAGAAAAGGTCAATTGTATGCATAGAATTGTAATGAAAAGGATGGAAGTGGAGTTGAGTTTAAAATTAAATTGTATATATTTATGTGTGAGATTTTATGTATTTTTTCAGTGATTTTTTACCTAAATTCAAATTTGTTGTAATTATATTTATGTGAAAGAGCCTAAGAAATAGAACCTAAACAGGAAAAATTTAAATATTTCTTAATAATATAAAGACTTTATGACCATAAATGGTAGAAACAGTAAAAAGTTTTGAATCAAAATTTATAAATAATCTAATAAAATTTTTCATTTTACTGTTACTGTAAAAAAAATATATAAATAAAATTAAAACAAATTACCACTATTTAATTATACTTTTAGTACTTGTGTAATAATGATAATTATAATAACATAGCATTTTGTAATATGGCTTTAACACACACTCGTAATTAGGACTTGGAATTAAATAAAATGAAAAATATGTATAAAGATATATAAATATAAATATAATCACTAACAACAGCAACAAAAATGGGAATGTTAACAAAACACTAGCAACAACATTTATTATTCACAGTGGTTGGTTGCATTAACAGAGTTTTAAAGTTTAAATTGTATTGAGCCTTTGGGAAACATACTACAAATGAGCACAGTCAGATACATTATGTAAATACATTGTACAACACTCAAAATTACTAAGTAACAAATGTATTAGTTTATCACTATGATTTCATTGCCAGCACTCTTACAAGGATTTTTTTATATTTCTTGGTTTAGTAACCCTTATTCTGATTGCTAGTATGGTAGTGATATCAGTCAGCGACTTGTGGGTTAGATTACCGCCAGGTTGTAATATTAAATCAGGATTTTATATCACATATTATTTTCAGTCCGATTTTTAATGAGACACTAAAATGTTTAGGAAAATATTAGTTTAAAGTATTTTTCTGAAGGGGACTTTATATAGGGGCTAGGGCGAAATGTGGTCCGATTTTCATGAATTCTAACAAACATGGTAGTTCAACACGATTGCTACTTAATAAACTTATTAATTTGTGCTAATACGATGTCCCGAGAGGAGATTTGAATTTCTTAAGAATCTTCGAGTCAAGTCGCGTGTGATTTGGGAGTGGAATTTGAAAGATTTTTTTTTTTTTGTTCCAATTTGACTCAATTCAGTCAACAGCATCACATAATATGTAATTTTTATTATTTGAAATATATAAGAGGTGGGTGTGTCACAGACCCAATTTCCATAAAGCTTTGTATTTTTATACCCACCATGTAATTCGACAAACATAAGTTTTATGCGAGACAAAATCTCCCTACCAATTTTTTTTGAGGATCGACACATAAACTACCCCCATGTAAGGTCCCCTTCAGAAAATTATTTTAATGCTCACTACTGGCTAAAAAATACGAGTGTAGCGTTGAAAAGGAAGTTTCTTACGACTTTTATGGGAATCATCCCATAATTGACCCTACCCCACACATAAGGTCCACTTCAGAAAATTTCTTTAACGCTCATTAATGGCTTAAAAATACTCGTATAGCTATTAAATTCGACACAAGGAAGTTTCTTGAGAGCCAGAATCTCTCTACCACATTTTATGCGGATCGATCCATAATTGACCCTACCCCCCATATATGGTCGCCTTCAGAAAATTACTTTAAAGCCCATTACTGCTCAAAAATGCGAGTAAAGCGGTGAAATTCGACATTAACACGTTTTACGCAAGCCAAAAACTCTCTATCAAATTTTATGAGGATCAGTTCATAATTAACCCTACCTATAAGTCCCCCTTCAGAAAATGATTTTAACACTCATTACTGGCATAACAATACCAGTAATTCGACATAAAGAAGTTTTATGGGAACTGACTTTGATGAAGATGGAACGATAACTGATCCTACTCCCCATTTCAGAACCACTTCAGAAAATTACTTTAACTCTCATTAGTTACTTAAAAATATGACTTAGGTAATGTAATTCGAAATAAAAAACTTCTTTACGAAACATAATTTAGGTACAAAAGTTTACGAAGATCGTTCTAACATGGTCGACTTCAGAAAATGACTTTAACGTTCAATAATGACTCAAAAGTTGGTACAAATTACGATCATTTTCAAGGAACTGATATTTTTCATCTGAATTTGATGAGTATTGGTCGATAACTGATCCAACCCCCCATTATCGTTTTCTTTTAGAAAATTACTTTAAACCTCATAACTAAATTAAAGATACGAGTAGTGCGTACAAAAACAGTTTATGGTTATAAAATTTGGACAAAATCAATTTGTTTTTAAAAATTAATATTTTTATTTGAAACAGCACGTTGAAACATACTTAAAGGTTCTCTTCCAAATGAATATCGATAATAAACAGTGGGTAAAACCACGAAGATCCCATGGGGTGACCCTGATGAGAGCAAAACGAAAAATCTCCTCAAAATGAGCAAGTCTGAAGTTAGTATGATGGTACGTATTCTGAGTAGACACACAGGATTACGAGCACATGTAGAGCATGTAGAGAGGACAGTGAAACTCTTGAACACTTTCTTTGCCACTGCCAGTCATTCGTTTATTCCGGAAATAACATTCCTGACTAACACTGATTGGAAGATTCTTAGAAATTACGTTCAGGAAACTGAGTTTCTGAGCACCGAAAAATAATTCATTCAGTGAACTTTTTTTTTCATGATAATGAGCGCACAACAGGCCCGGTAGTGGCATAGGTGTATTTTTTCTGATTTGATGTAGTATACATCCTCCTATCAACCTAACCTATATTAAATCAAAAGATTGTGCGACGTATGTACATGTGTTGCAAATGTCATACAATTGCAAATATTTACACACACACATAATAAAGTTGTTTAAATGGTAAAGTATCACAAGTGCATTGTTTACCTTTTGTGAAAGTGATATTAAAAACTGAAGAAGTTTTTTAACACTATTAAAGTGGGTGTAGGGTACAGAGGAAATAACTATCCGAACTCCTTTGGAAAATTTTTGCTAGAACCAATAGGTTAAAAGTCTCATCGCATTTGAATAGAACCCTGTATGACCAAAATGTCCAACTTTGACCCCATCTAAGTCCGGCAGTTCTTGACCGATATAGCTGTACTATCCAATAGTGCTAACCTTGGTGCAAATTTTGTCAAAATCGATTTTTTGAGTTGGGTCACTTGACATGAAATTCCCCATATGTTCATATATGCTTGTGACGTCAAAAAACATATATAACCCACAGAGTCTAGACGAAGGTGTTTTTTCGATATACAAAGTAGGGGTCGGTAACAATATTAATTTAACATTTTTATGATTTTTTCTAAAGCATAAAAAGAGACATTAGTGTGACAATAAAAATCAGCCTGAACTTTTCCAAATACAGTAGGACCTTGATTATCCGTAATTCGATTATCCGGGATGGAAAAAGAAATTTTTTTGTATCGACTTAATTTTATTTTGAATTGACTTAAATTTGCTTGCATCGATTAACCGTGATTACCTCTATTATCCGTGATTATTAGCAAATTTTTTTCTATTATTTTTGAACAAATAAGTGAAAAAGGGGAATTCCCTATTTAGTATACGATGAGTTAGAAGCATACATTTAAACCTGTTTAGTATAATTCAGAAATTTGAGAAGTGCGGTTTGTTAGAGTTTATTTTTACAATGTCATCTTTATCAGTGGAAAAAAGAAAAAGAAAAGTCTTAAATACTGAAGACAAACTTAATGTAATTAATGATCATTTAAAAAACAATGTTAGTGTTAAAATTCTCTCACAAAAATACGGAGTGGGGATACAAACAGTTTATGACATTTTAAAAAATAAGGAAAGACTTTTAAAATTTTGTTCAGAAAGTGATTCTGTAATTGGTTTTCGAAACCGAAAAGCTTTAAAGTCTGCTGAAGAACCAAAAGTTGATTTCGCAGTTTATGAATGGTTCCGACAAGAGCGATTTAAAGGGACTCCAATTTCTGGGCTAATGGTGAAGGAAAAAGCTAAAATATTCCACTAAAAATTAGAAACAAATTCAGAGTGTCAATATTCTAACGGTTGGTTGCAGAATTTTAAAAAGCGACATGGAATACATAAACTTCGTGCTGAAGGAGAAAAATCTTCAGCAGATTATATTGCTGCCATAACGTTCGTGGAAAAATTAAATGAATACATATTAACGGAAAAACTTACCAATGAACAAATTTATAACGGAGATGAGACAGGCCTTTTTTGGAAGTGTTTACCTGAAAGCAGTTTGGCTTGCCATAATGAAAATTTCATAGATGGTCATAAGGTTTCAAAAGAGAGAGTAACCACATTACTTTGTGCTAATGCTGCCGGTACACACAAGTGCAAAGTGTTAGTCCAAGAGCATTAAAAAATGTTAAAGATCTTCCCGTTATTTATAAGGCAAATGCAAAAGCTTGGGTAACACAACAAATATTTTTAGAATGGTTTAAGAATAATTTTGTACCAGAAGTGAGAGAGCATTTTAAAAAAATCGGTCTAAAAGATGATAGTAAAATACTTCTGCTATTGGACAATTGCCCAGCACATCCAGACGCAAAGGATTTCAATGCTAAAAATGTTATTGTAAAATATTTTCCACCGAATTGTACGTCTTTGATCCAACCGATGGATCAGGGTGCAATATGGAGCTTTAAATGCCACTACCGAAAAACTATAGTACAAAAACTAGTCACAACAAGCGATAGAGAAGAATTTAAGAAGACATTCAACATCAAAAAAGCACTGTGGTCAATTGATAATACTTGGAACGCTGTTACTTCTGCAGTTTTAAAAAATGTGTGGAATAACTTGTTCTGCCCCGAAAATGAAGGTGTGTCCGAGGTTTAATAAAATCTATTTGTTTAAAATTTTATTATTTTTTATTACAGACCCGGAATTAATGGAGACACTCCAGTCAAATAACGTAAGTCAAATAACAAATATTACATACGATTTTACTACTGAGGATATAGAAACATGGCTCA